CTTTCCCTAACTGTGCATTTGTTTTCCTTTGTGGTATGTCTATAAGAGAATGCAAGTTGTTTGGGGCAGTGGCATGTGCAACTAATAAAAGACAATAAAATAGCAACCAAATGTGTGAGGTGCTTCCTTCTGTTTCTGAAAAATTCAGATGTTGATTTGGTCCATAGAGACTAAATATTTTTGCAGTTAGAGTTCAGAGAGTTTTCTTTTGATCCTTTAGAATAATGATGTTAGATACATGCTATTAATGAAGAGTACTCTTGCAAATTAACTGAGCAATCCTTCAAAATGCTTACTAGGAGACAGAGTAAAATATTATTGTCAGTCTTGGTTCATAATGGCTGCTATTTTAACATTTTTTTCTGTGGTTTTTTGCTCCTCAGTGTTTTTAGCAGTACAATTAACTTGCTCTGTTTTACTTGATATTTGATACTATATACCTCTATAGTGATGCAATACTTTGGGGAAATAGGTTGGATTTAATGAATTTACTATGTATGAGAGGCTAGGAGGAAAAATCGTTAGGGGGTCAAAAAAAAGTGAATGGTCCATTAAAAAATCAATCATGCCCACAATTTTATGAAATTATTATGCTTTGACTTGATAATTTTAATAGTATTGTGCTTACAGTAGCATTTTCTTTAAATGTTAAAAATAGTGTTCATATTGATTATAAGACAAATAAGCAAATGGATGTTCTTCAATTTCCCATGATTGAAATGAAAAAATTGCCTTTTATAAACATATTACTACTAATAATTCCCTATTAAGGAGCATATCTCTTAAGCTGCATATGGCATGTGTTTACTGACAATCTTAAAGTAATTTTGAACAGAAAATTAAATTATCTAGTTGAAAATACAGGCAGCTTTCAATAAAATAGAGTTCTGGAATAATTAGGAGGATCATCTGAGGATGCCTACAGTCTTACCAAAATTACTGTCAAATGCTTTCCATTTGTAATTCTCCAAATGTTGAATTATAAGTTAATCCAGGATCACAGGACATTGTCCCCCTGTGTCATTGTCATTTTTTAACACTGTTTTACTCCAGAAAAAGAAGTCAGCTTGCATTATCCTTGAGAATATGCCAAACACTGACCTCAAAATCCAGGTGGGCCATGGTGTGCTGTCAGAAAGGGAGCTTCGACCCATCAGTGTCACCAGTTAAAACCTTAAGGCAAAACTAGGCAACAGGTTTTCTGAATTTGGCCTTGTATCTCTTACGAAAGAGACTGTACTGCAGTCTTGAGGAAGTCAGATAAGATCTGAATTGAATTAGCTGTACCAGATCACAGCTGGTTTATCTATATGCTAAGTGGAAGCTCCTCTTTGCCATGCCTCTTTTGCTATCCCACCCATCACTAGACTTCTGAAACTGTGCACCACTGAGACACTACATTCACTTGGATAGGCCAAAAGAACACCCCTGGGCCCTTTTTGGTTTGTTACAGAAGGTCTACTATCAATTCCGGAGTCTCCTGATGCACCTGTGGTTGGCCCATCTTCCTAAGAGTTAAGTCTTGGATTTTACAGATTGGAGATGCATGTGATATCTTGAGATTTTAGAGACATGTCAAACTAATAGTTTCACACAAGCATTGCTATGTAGGGTAGACTTAAAACCAGATTTTGAATCTTTTATCAATGAGCAAGAGGAATTACTGTTACAACCCAGTTATTTTTCATATGGATGGTCACCTTCTGCTGTGCTATTGGACCTAAGCCTTGGGGCTCTTAGACCTTTCCACTTTTAAAACTGTCTACATTTCTTCTTCAAGGGCCTTCCAGGATCACGTTTTCTTGGTATGTAACCAATGTGTCCCTCAGTATCCTGCAACCTGATGGCCCTGAAATGTTTTCTGACTTCTTGAATACCCTATACCTATAGTATAGGCTCTTTCTTAGGAGATTTGAAGACAGGAAAGCTCAGAAATCCTACTGCTTTTGTCTTCTGGTTTTTATTGGTGATGGGAGACATCCCTCAAACATCAAGTTCTGATACTTTTGTGTCTCTCTCTTTCACCCTTGGATTTTTCCTTGGAATTTTTTTTTTCCCTTCCCCTGCAGCTGTGTTCATTAAAAAATAGATCTTCAACAAATCAAAACCCTTTGCCTGTGTTCTGCCCTTCTTCAGCTCAAGGACATGCAGTTCTTGACACTTGCCCAGCAAGGGTGTGCATGCTGGCCCTGTCCTCAGCCTTGGACTGTACCCAAACAGCTTTACTCTTTTTACCCAGGTAGTAGATAATGGAAGAATGAAATAAACATACCTCTTAGTGAAGTTTTCAACAAATCAGCTGTATCCAGTGTTGTTCACCGCTATATAATGCTTAAAAGATGAAAGTTGCAGTTGTAATGTAATCTCATGATTCAGAGCATATGATCCCAGCTATGGGCAAACAGTGCTTATGCTTTAATCTGCCTCCAGAGGCAGTTGCTCCTCTTAAAAGGAGAATCTAGAGGATATGTTCTCCTTTTGGTTAATACACTGATTTAAGAGCTTTACTAATGTTCTATGAATCTCGGAGTTACTATAAAAGTATTTTCATCTTAGTATTGTGTAATTCCTCAACTCCCACTGAAATGGATGCAAAATCAGGTGCTTAAACATCTGTGCTGTGGGGATCAGTATAGAGGAGGAGATGAGGAGAATCTATTTGGAAGAGAATTAAAGAGCTGTACAGGTGGAAGTGCTGCATGGAGGCTCCAGAGATACTGGAAGGATAACAGAGAAGTCAGATGGGGAGATTTTGGAGCCGAGGACTTCTTTTGCTGTTAAAAAGCAGTCATATGATTCCAGCCTCTGTTACCTGGTTGGAGGAAGATT